GCGCTGGCTCTTTGGCTTTGAAACGGAGATGAGCACTGCCCCCTAGAGTCGGGAAAGACTAGCACATGTGTGAGGGGAACCTTTTACCTTTATTTTTGAAAGAGATTTGCCCTCTTGGAGTCAGAGAGCAGTGGCCCAAAGTCACTAGCTGGCTTCGTGCCCAAGAGAAAACTAGAACTCATGGTCTCCCAGTTTCTAGCCTGCTGCTTTAACCAGAACACCAAAGTGGCTCTCTAATCCTGGTTTTTCTTTAAAATAGCCACAGTGGATTTTCTGTTTCAAGGGTGCTGGTTAGCTTGTTACAACAGAACAGACCAGCAGTTCAGATCCTGCTGGCAAAGGGACAAGGGCCAAAGAAATGGCAGGCAACATTAGAGGTCCTGGATTTGACAATATCTGAGACCCTAAAACATTTTGAGAGCAACGTCTGTGGCTAATTGCAATTGCTTTCTTCGGAAAGGCGGCCCAGCACGTTCAGAAGGAGTCCACGGGGCTCTTCCAGTGCATGTTCTTCAACGACAAGAGTCCTGCGCGGGAGGAGCAGCGCTCAGCGGACGGAGTGATCTATTCCATCCGAACCAACGGGGTGCTGGTCTTTGTGCCAAGGTGAGGAGGCATTTGGGAGAAGGTGAGGAAAGGAAAGGCACTGGAAGCAAGGGCGGATTTTCAAGATAGAAGTTGTTCTGAATTTGCTCCAGTGAAAAAGGGGTGGAAACGTTTTGTCAAGGGAGAGTCAACAGACGAGAAACAGCTACACTTAGAAACTTGGGGAAAGGCTCCATGGAGGTCCCACAATCAGCTAGCAAAGTTTTTTTGCAGGCAGTGGCTGGTAAGAGTTTTCTGAGAAGGATCTCTGCCAAACAGATGCCGTGGTTTAGACCTCAATTCATGTAATGGCATGTGAGAATGACTTTGGGAGACGGGAGGAGGAAGAAACGCAGCCTAGACAACAACATGCAAAAGGTATCTCAGCCCACGAAAGGAAAAGAGGCCTGGGAAGTGTCTCAGAAGGGAACCCCCTGGTTCTCTGGAAAGTAAAAGTAAGGAGAGAAGGGCTTCCAGACTTCAAGATTCTGAGGTGATAGATGATAGACAGATAGATAGAAAGATAGATAGATAAGATTAGATAAATAGATAAATGGATAGATAGATAGATAGATAGATAGATGATTGATAGATAGATAGATAGATAGATAGATAGATAGATAG